TCCATTGGCAGCTGTCAATGTATATTTTCTTGGGGGAGATTTTGAACTTGAACAACTTTTCTTACTATTTATCACCTACAATCTCCACAATTCTAGCAAAAATGATGTCTGTTCTAATTTGAGATTCAACAGCAGCAGAAGTGGTTGACATGCTATCAGAGCTTACATAATAATCAACATTTATAAGCAAGGAAAAATGTATTGCTTTTTGCAGCTCATTCCAGTCAGAATCATCATGTTTACCACTCTGTATCCGCTGGTTCCAAAGCCAGCGTTTGCAAAGCAGTTGTAGATTACTTTTAAGGTGGTTGTGTGTCACATAACAATAATATTCTTTATTGCATCAAGAGCATGACATTTAAAGAAATAACTGTACTAAAAATATTTTTTATTTCACATAATATAACAAGTTATTCCAGCATACAACTTTTAGGTGATTAATTATGCCTTCATCTAATGACTAAATATATATTATGATACGGGAAGTCAAAAATAACATCCACGTATTTTATCATATGTCCCCAGTTATTTGCTCTCAGCCAGAAGATTCTTTCAAGTATTTCAGTTTCCAGTTTGACCTGTTCTGCATCTCTTATTCTTTTTCTTTGACAAATTCTACCTTCCTTGTCTAACTGTCTTTCTGTCCTGTTCTAGTTTTAAGGAAATGTTTATTACATGGTAATGGTTACATTTGAGGAATTGTGAAATTATTATGTTTTGTCTTAAAGCTATGCCTTTCACCCTATACATGTAGAGTACAGAAAAACACATACCTAACAGAATATTCTCTTAAGAAGATTAAAGTGATCAGCTTGGTGCATAAGATACAACTCTAATATTCATTAGATGAATAATTTTTTAGGTTTAGAACACCGAAGTTAACATCAAATTTCAAGGAAGGGCTATTCTGAAGTCTCTGAACAACCGAGACAAATGACACACCCCTTTTCAAAGGAAAACTAAGTATTTTGATGTAGATAATTGTGTCGAGTATTGGGTATCGAAATAATTAAATTATAACTTATAGAAATAATGAATTGAAGGAGAACTATTTTGAAATTACACTGATTTTAATTCTAATGGAAACGTTAGAATACTTCAAATAAAAGTCTTAAGCACAACTGCAAGTACTTCATTTGTGTTAGTTTACTTCTTTGATGAAATATTAACACAGGACCCAGTGTAAAGAATGTACACTGTGTATTGGCATAGAAAACAACAAAATGTTATCCCCATGCTAGAAATCTGTAACTTTGAATCAGACGTTTCTGTCTTATCCCATCTTCAATTGTTCAGGGTTTAAATATCTGAAGATTTATTCAGCATCTAACTAATAATTTTTTTGTAGGAAGGGGCTGAGAGCGTTTCTTACTTTTGCTTTAAATCTCCTTTATAAAAAAGAGGCAGCTAGGACACTTTGTCACATCTTCCCCAATCTCTAGTCTCCTTTGGAGATAAATGATCCCCACGTGGCTGGGATAAAATGGTGCCTCGGAGTGCAGGTATCATTGCAAGTCCTGATCTCTACCTCATTGTAAACACTAACATTGTAACTGGACAACTGACCAATTGTTGTCCCCATTGCCTTCTCTCTAATCCTGTCCCCAGACACCACCTGTTTTCTTCCAGCTCTGCCCAACACTGCAAGTCCAGGCTATTTGTAGGCATTAGTGTTTGCAATTTTATACAAAGGAGAGAGGCAAGACCACACTGAGAGGTGGCAAATTAGCAAACACCAGACAGAGGTGAGGAAGCAAGTTATAAGGTATCTGAGGCAAACCTATTCTAGGCAGCGGGAATAACAAATTGAAGTCCTTAAAGGAGAAGTGTGTCAGCATGTTGGAGGAACAGTAATGTGGCCAACATAGATGGAGTGATTAAGGAAGAGAGTAGCAGGGGATACAATCAGAGGTGTAAAGGAGACCAGATTGTGGGGCGGCTTTTAGAACATTGTAAAGACTTTGGCTTTTGTTGTAAGTGAAATAAAGCTGTTGGGGGATTTTGACTAGAGAAGTTATGTTTACTGAATTGTATTTGAAAAGTATCACTCTGCATTTATTTTTATGAAGCCCAGTTTATCAATTTTTTTCTTTTATGCTTCATGCTATCCCCGTTCTAAGAAAACTTTGCCGATCCCAATTTTGCAAAGATTTTCTTCTAAATGGTTTATAGTTTTAGGTTTTATATTTAGGTCTATAATCTATTTGCAGTTAAGGTAATGATCAATGATCATTTTTATCCATACCGATATCTAGCTGATATAGCACCAATTCTTGAAAATACTTTTCCCTCATTGAATTCCCTGTCATCTTTGCTGAAAATTAATTAAACATGTATTCATGAGCTTATTTCTATAATCTCTATTTTGTTCCATTGATCTATATATCTTACTTTCACCAGTACCAAACTGTCTAGTTTATTGTTCTTTATAATAAGCCTAAAATTCAGGTAGGGTGAATCCTCTTTTTTTGTTCCTTTAAAAAATTGTTTTGGTTATTCTAGATCCTTTGCATTTCCATATAAATTTTAGAATCAGTTTGTTAATTTCTACCAAAAAAACCTACAGAATTTTGAGCAGAATTGCATTGGTTTTATGGAGGAATTTGGGGAAAATGGCCATCTTAAAACTACTGAGTCTTCTAATTCATAAACATGGTATACCTTTCCATTGATTAACCTTTTTAAAATTTCTGTCAGTTCCATTTTGAACTTTTCAGTGCAGAGATCTTGGATATCTTTAAAAAACCAAAAAGACAAACCACCTACTGAGTCAAAATATTGGAAATACATATATCATTCAAATGAATTGTATATCTTATAAATAAAGAACTCTTACAACTTAATGAAAGAAGACAAATGATTCCTTTAAATATGAGCAAAATATTTGAGTAGATTTTTCACAAAGCAAGATACATGACTAATAAGCACATGAAGAGATGCTCTATATCAGGAGTTGCCAAGACACGCTCCATGAGCCAAATCCAGTCTGCCACATATTTTATAAATAAAATATTATTCGAACACAGCCATGCTCATTTGGTTACATGTTATCAATAGCTTTTTTCACGTTACAATGCTGGAATTGAGTAGTTGCAATAGAGACCATACAGTCTGCAAAGCTGAAAATATTTATTATCTTATCCTTTAGGGAAAGTTTGCCAATCTCTATGCTACATCACAAGTCGTCAGAAAAATGAAAGTTTAATACCACAATGAGATTCTGATACACGCTCATCAGGTTGACTGAAATTAAGAAGACTAACCATACCAAGTGTTGGCAAAGATTCAGTTCTCTTTAGTATGAAGGGCTCTCCCTGATATAATGTTGATACTAGGAAAGGAAGGAAATTCCAGGTAGTAACTCAGCCTGAAAGGCCAATTTCTGCCTCTGTAGGGACTCCAGGGCAGTTCAGGTGCTACCATGCATAATCCAGGAGTCCTGTTCTCTCCTGATATGGATAACATCCCAACAAAGGCCTCCAGATCCTCCTGAGACACACTTAAGTAGAGAGCAGCGAAGGTTTCATGGCTGACCTCAACAAGGGCAATATCTCCTTCCATCTGAAAACTCATTGGCTCAAGAGGAAGATTCAACCATTTATTTCAGTGTTCTGCTTGATGTAAGGGTTACTGAACACAAAATTCTAAAAAGCTGTAGAAAATTGCTAAGTGTAACCTCCCTATATGGCCACAAAGGGGCAATGCTGCTTCACAGAAGATTAAAATTTGTCTCATATATACATATTCATCAAGTAGCCACAGATTGTCCTTAAAAGAATCTAATTTACAAATTATTATCTCCCACTCTGCTTCAATTTATATTGATCAGTCATCTATGTATCTGTTTATTTATCTATGTATCTATCTATCTTCCTAAATAGCATCTGTGTTTATTCTAGTCCAATAGAACAGAAAAAAATGACTTTGGAACTCGATTCTTCTTTGAATGATGCATACCATCCTTCAAAGTCAGGGCCACACAAGCTTCTCTAGTATAAACTCATATTGTTTCCACCCATACACAGCCCAACCTCCAACCACAATCTCTGCCTAGAATTCCCTTACCTCACTCTTCTAGCTGATAAGTCTATCCATGATTTAAGGCCAATTTCAAGCATCTTCTCCATCAGAAACCTTCTCTGAGTAGGTCCAGAAGTAGAGCTCATTACCCTTTTTCTGTATATGTATATATAGACCTCTTTGGTACATGTTATCTGGCTGTACCTGAGAATTGGGACCAGGCTGACTGAAGATTGGAACTGTTTCATTCATGAGTGAGATCGAAGCACTGCCCACTTAGTAGGAACTCAGTAAATACATATTGAAGATATGCATAAACAAACGAATGAAAAAGAGAAGAAATAACAAAACCCAAAGCAAACGATAATAAAAAAAAATTCCCTTGGAAGATTGAAGTAGAATGGGATTGATGTGTAGGTTGAAGAATGTAATCTCTTACTATTGTCTCTTGTTGGACTGTGGTGGTGTTTTTCTTTGCTTGGATTTGATATGAGATCAAATACAGATAGAAAACAATTCTCTTTGTGCTTCAGGAAAAAAAAAAGTGCTCTTTACATTCCTTTAACTTGTATTATTTATGGCACCAAAACACATTGCCATCAAGTCGATTCCAATTCATAGTGACCCTGTAGAACTGCCCCACAGGGTTTCCAAGGAGCAACTGGTGAATTTGAACTGCCCACCTTTTGGTGAGCAGCCAGCTCTTAACCACTGCACCACCAGAGCTCCATTTATGGCACAGATTACCCCTATTTTTAGAACTGCTTCTGAATTTATCGTCAATTTCTGTCTCTATATCTTGCCTGTATTAACATTAAAAGCCAAGATGATTCTTCATATTTCACCCATGAAGATAAAGTGTGAAAAAATATTAAATATTTGTTCAACCTCAGGGTGATAGTTACCAAAAATGCTGCATTACAGGATGGCCATCACCCTGTATCTTCTGAAGCTATTGCAAAATTTCCATCCTCTCATCCATTTGTAGATAAAAATGCCCCCAGACCAGACATTTTCATTATTTCCTGTTTTTTTTTTTTCTCTAGGTATATTCTTAGAAATATTTAATTTATATTTTAGAAGAAATTGAAAATGGCTTCATTATCTCCTATTATTTCATAAGGCCGTGTAAAATATGAACACATACAAAGATTGTAATAAAAATTTAAGTTACTTGAGGACAGAGAAACCACATATGTTCTCTATGTTCTGATCCATAACCTTAGCTTGTAGTGGAAGATTATACCTATTGTGCGACCTGAATCAACTTTAATTAGTGTAAGAAATAAAAAAGAAACATCCAAAAACATGCTGATCAGGTGGCTTCTTGTCAGTCCCTCTCACCATTGTAAAATAAGGCATTTTGGAGCACGTCATCCTTACTGACATGTCCAGCTCTCCCAGTCTAAAGTTCCAAACATTCTAGGAAATGTGAGGAAAAGGTAGAGGGTGCCTGGGAAGAAAAATTCTGAACTGATCCTTATCCAGAATTAAGGAAGGGATTTCTGATTCTCAGTGAATGTGTTCTCAGCATTTCTAAGTTTGGACAAAATAATGAATTGCTTCCTTTGAAGAAATATCTTTAGGTGACATTGTGAAAGGGCGGGGCCTGTTGAAAGAATTAAAGTGGGTGTGAATTTAAAGTTAGAGTGCCAGCTACAGAGAGAACGGACCATCTAGGTTGTCACAGAGCTCTGGTGCCAAGAGGAATGGACAAGCTCCTGAGAGCATCATGTTTAATTCTATGGCTTCAGCTAGGCTGTGAGTTGTGGAGGAAAAACTCCATGATATGTCATTAATTGGAGGGAATTAAAAAATTGAGGGATAGACAAACTCATGTAGGTAGAAACTTTAAGGAGGAAATATAAATGTGGAGGTCTAATGACATTTTATTATTCTCCTAAGCAGGGGTGAGCGGCCAGCAGAAGGAGAAAAGTGACCGAGAGCAAGTGAAGCAGAATCATCAATCTCTGACAGTCCAGGAAGGAGGGACTTCAGTTTTGAACTGTGCTTATGATAACAGTGCATTTGACTACTTCCCATGGTACCGACAATATCCTGGGAAAGGCCTTGTGTTATTGATAGCCATACGTTCAGTTGAGAGTAAAAAGGTAGAAGGAAGATTCACAGTCTTCTTCAATAAAACTGGTAAACACTCCTCTGTGCACATCGTGGCTTCCCAGCCTGGAGACTCAGCCACCTACTTCTGCGCAGCAAGTGCACAGTGCTCTGCAGGCACCTGCAGCCAGTACCCAAACGTGCAGCTGGGGTTCCAGCCAAACCCTGCTGTTGGGGCTTAGACTGGCAGATACGTAGGCTAGTTTCCATTTATACATTGTTGTCATAGTTGTTAGATGCCTTCTAGTCCTTTTTATCAACTCATAATGACCCCGTGTGACAGAGTAAACTGCCCCAGAGGGTTTTCTTGGTACAAACTTTATGGAAGCAGATGGCCAGGTCTTTGGCCCTCGGAGCCACTGTGTGTGTTGGAACTGCCAACCTTTCAGTTAACAGCCGAGTGCTTAACCATTTACACCACCAAGGCACCTTTAAAACAGTTAAAATGGTGAATGAAATTTATGCTATGTCAATTTTACCTCCATTAAAAAATCACAGGAAAACAATAAAAATTACGGCTTAAATTTAAAAAAGAAAGGGGGACAGAGGTTAATGGAATGATTTTTTATAACTCTGAAGGAAATAAAAAAATCTGTAAAACAAAACTCTATATGAGTAAAAATATATCTTGCAAATGAACGCGAAATAAAGATAATTTCAGACAATATACACAGATAATTAGTTACCAGCAGACCTTCACTGCAAGATATTGTAAAGAAAAATTACCTTGTAGAAAAAAAATATTTCAGAGGGAAAATCAGATTTTTACAAAGAAATAAAGGGCACTGGCAATGGTAAATATGTCAGTAAATATAAAAAATAAAAATTTTCTCTTTCCTTAATCTTTTTAAATAAAAGCTGTCTCAAAGGAAAGGAGGGGTGGGGAGGGAGAAACACTAAATAGACGATAGATAAATGGTAACTTTGGTGAAGGGTAAGAGGGTACGCAGTAATGGGGAAGCCAGCACAACTTGACCAAGGCAAGGTCATGGAAGCTCCATAGACACATCCAAACTCCCTGAGGGACCGAATTACTGGGTTGAGGGCTGGGGACCATGGTCTCAGGGAATATCTAGCTCAGTTGGCATAAGATAGTTTATAAAGGAAATGTTCTACATCTTACTTTAGTGAGTAGCGTCTGGGGTCTTAAAAGCTAGCGCGTGAACTTCTAATATACTCCACTGGTCTCACCCTTTCTGGAGCAAGGGAGAATTAAGAAAATTAAGATATAAGGGAAAGATTAGTCCAAAGCACTAATGGATGACAACTACCACAGCCTCCACCAGACTAAGTCCAGCACAACTAGATAGTGCCCCGCTACCACTCTGCACTGACAGGGATCACAATAGGGGCATCTCAGACGGAGCTGGAGAAAAGTGTAGGACAAAATTCTAACTCAAAAAAAAAAAGAAAAAAAAGATCAGACTTACTGGTCTGACAGAGACTGGGGAAACCCCGACAGTATGGCCCCCACATACCTTTTTAACGCAGTACTGAAGTCACTCCTGAGGTTCACCCTTCAGCCAAAGATTAGACAGGCCCATAAAACAAAACAAGACTAAATGGGCATACCAGCCCAGGGGCAAGGACCAGAAGGCAGGAGAAGACAGGAAAGCTGGTAACGGGGAACCCAAGGTGGAGAAGGGGAGATTGTTGACATGTCGTGAGGTTGGCAACCAATGTCACAGAACTATTTGTGTATTGTTTAATGAGAAATTTGTTTGCTCTGTAAACATTCATCTAAAGTACAATCAAAAATAAGTAACAGCTGCCTCTATAGAGCAAAAACTAACAATTCATCATGAGATTTGCAATATATGTAGAAATAAAATATATGATAACAAAGACACAAAAAACAGAGGGGGAAATTTTAGAAGTATACTGTTTTAAGATTCTTACAGTATATGCAAGGTGGCATAGTATTATTTGAAAGTAGACTGATAAATTAAAAATAAAATTTGTAAACTCTAGATTAACTATGAAAAATAAAATAAAATAAGAAGTATAGCTAATAAGCCAATAGAGGAGAAAAATGGACTGCTAGAAAATACTGGACTAATCTAAAAAAGACAAGAAAAGAGGAAAAATGAACAAAGAATAGATGGGATAAATAAGCAAGAGAAACCAAGGAGATAGATTTACCTTAATCACATAAATAAATACACTAAATGTAAAGAGATAAAAGCTCCTATTTAAACTTAGAGATTGTTATACTCGATAAAAAAGGCAATATAAATATATTCTATTTATAAGAGATGCACATCAAATACAAAGACAGCTAGGCTAAAATTAAAAGATGGAAGAAAATATAATGTGCAAGCCTTAACCATAAAAAAAGATGCAATGACCATTAAGACAGACCATATAGACTTCAAGTTAAAGAGTATTACCAGATATAAAGAGGACCTACAGCAGCTTTGTCGGCAATGACCAAAAAGTGGAAACAACCCAAGTGTTCTTTAGCGGGTAAATGAATAAACATATTGTGGGTATGTCCACACAGTGAATGCAGTACAATTCAGCAATAAAAAGGAATGACCTATGGATACATGCACAACAACTTGGATAAATTTCATGGGCATTATTCTGAGTGGAAAGAATTTCAAAAGGTTATATAATGTATGATCCCATTTATTAACATCCTTAAGATGACAAAATTATAGGACTGGAGAAGAGATCAGTGGTTGGCCTGGGTTATGGATGGTGAGGGGTGTGCCCAAGGGAGTTTCCTCAGGGTGATGGAACAGTTCTGTGTGTTGATTGTAGTGGGGTTACACGAATCTAAAATGTGATAAAGTTTCATAGAATTTTACAGTAACAGAAAAAAAAATGAGTGCATGTAAAACTGTTGAAATCAGAATAAGGTCTGCAGTTTAAGTAATAGTATTATATGAATTTCCTGGTTTTGATCACTGTACTATAGTTATGTTAAGATGCTATCATTAGAGATAACTGGATGAAGTGCACAAGGGAACGCTGTACTATAATGAAAACATATGCCATAAACAAATTTGTACAAGAATGTTTATAGCACCGTTAGTCATAATAGCAATAGAGAAAAATGTCCACAGACAAGAGACTGAATAAACAAACTGCGCTATATACATACAAAGGAACTCTAATCAGCAATAAAATGGACTGAGCCGTTGATACTCACAACATGAATAAACCTCAAAACATTATGCCTAGCCAAATATGTCAGACAAAAAGGGTAAAAACCATTTAATTCCATATATAAAAGTCTAGCCTGGTGGCACGGTGGTTAAGCGTTTGACTGCTAACCAAAAGGCCAGAGGTTCGAATCCAGCAAGTACTCTTTGGAAACTCTATGGGGCAGTTCTACCCTGTCCTATAGGGAGGCTATGAGTTAGAATCAACCCGACGGCAATGGGTTTGGTTTGGTTTAAGTAGGTAAACTAATCAATGCTGAAAGAAAGCAGAACAGTGGTTGCTTCTATGGGTTAGGAATTGTTTGGGATGGGGCACAAGGGATCTTTCTGGAGTGATTGAAATGCTCTATGTCTGGACAAAGGTGTGACTTATATGGTTGTCTGCAATTTTCAAAACTCCTCTAACTCCATACTTAGGATCCATTTATTTCATGTATAAATTATACCTAAATAATAATAAAGATAATTTAGAAATGAAGCAATATCAAAGTAATAAATGAGGAAATCCAATTCTTAATATTTTGAAGAACTAAAAAACACAAATTTTGGGTAATATAGATAATAAAAAAATAGAAAATATTTAATATGGTATGCTGAATAATGATCCCCCAGAGATGTCCATGTCCTGAATCTGTGAACTTCCCATGGCAAAAGAGATTTTGCAGATTGATTAAATTAAGCATCTTGTGATGGGCAGGTTATCCTGGATTATCTGGGTGGTCCCAACATAATCACCAAAAAACCAAAACCCACTGCCACTGAGTTGATTTCAACTCACAGAGACCAGAGTAGAACTGTCCCATAGAGTTTCCAAGGCTGTAATCTTTACAGTAGCAGACTGCCACATCTTTCTCCTATGGAGGCACTGGGTTGGTTTGAACAGCTGACCTTTCGATTAGCAGACCAGTACGTAACCACTGTGCCACCAAGGCTCCCAAAGTAATTGCAAGGGTCTTTATAAGAAGGTCTTGACTGACTTTATCAGTAGAGTCAGAGTGAGAGAAGGCTGTGTGACTATGGAAGCAGAGGGAGAAAAGGTGATATGATGTGGAAATGACGGCAGCTGTTAGAAGCTGGAAAAGGCAAGAAAATGAATTCTCGCCAGTAGCCTTCAGAGGAACTCAGGCCTCCCAACACTCTGAGTGTAGCCCAGTGAAACTGAGTTTGGGCTTTGGACCGGCAGAACCTTAAGAGAGTAAATTGGTGTTTTAAGTTTGTGTTAATTTGTTACAGCAACAATAGAAAACTAATGCAAATCATAATAGGAAAGGTTAGAAAACAGACATATCTACAGATACAGCAGAAATTAAAAGCTTATTAAGATAAAATTATGTACAATTTGAGGCAATAAATTAAAAAAATCACAAGAAATAGAACAATTTCCTAGAAAAATATGTATTACTACAAGTAACTCAAGAAGAAATTGAAAAACTAAACAAATTACATTAATTTGATGATTTTAAATTTAAAAATCCCTATAAAATTAGTAACAGAATGGGAATTTTCAATCCGTATGTGTTCCCAGTACAAAATTAAAAACAAGATACATACTAGAATGTAATTATAAACCATATATCCAAGAAAAGATTACAAATTAAGGCCAGATAGGGAACTCTTACAAATCAATAATGGAAAAAAATAAAAACAGGTAAGGATATAAGACAACTCAAAGAAGAAGAAACAGTGATGGCCAGTGAACACGTAAAACATCAATCTCCCTATTAATCAGAGGAAATTAAATGAAAGGATGTTACCATTTCATTTCTAGATCAGCAAAGTGTATGAAGTCTGATAACATTAATTGTTGGCAGAGATATAAGGAGATGGGGACTCATACTTTTTCAGACGGAGAAAAACAACCATTTGGAGAACAATTTGCCTCAACTACTAAAGAAGAAAAAATACATACCTAAAAATTCAGCAATTCCAATTCCTGATATCTACATTAAAGAAATTCAAACATGTAAACAAGGAGACATTTATAAAGATGCTCACTGCAGCAATTGCAACAACTATAATCAATCAATAGTGGAATGGAAGAATAGTGATTTACTTCTATAATAGGAATACAATATAGTGATTAAAAGCAAAGAAGTAGGTCTGTACATATTTTTTAGATGACTCTTAAAAATAAAACATTGAATGTAAAAAGCAAGTGGGAAAACAATAACATACCACATGACACATTTATGAGAAATGTCAAAATACAAATACATTCAGTATATTGTTTGTGATATGTCTCTATAAAGTTAAAAAACAATTCTTAATGCATAGAATCTTTCCATTATAGTGGTTACCACACTGGAAAGAAGAAAGAACAGGGGTTACTCTTTTAACTGTGTCTCTGAAATATTTGAGAGATAGAAGAGAAAGATGAGAGAGAGAAAGGGAAGATGTATCTATAGAAAGCATATCAAAATTAAATATCTGTTTATTCTCATTGCTGGGTGAAAAGATGTTTGCTATATAATTTTTTGTACTTTTCCAC